AAACGGGATCGAAATCGTTCGACCAAAACACTACGATTCCAAGTGCTGAAATTCTGTGATGGGATGGAATGTAAAAAAATTCTCAGGTAATCGAAACTGGACACCGCCCGGGAGGCGAAGTTCAAACCTGACCTGGGACCTTCACCGGACCAGGTCGTGGAAGTGGTGATCAAGGCCACAACAAGAACGAAGAGGTGCTCCTTTCGAATTCGCGAACCTCGTAGTATGACTAGGCTCTTGCACTTCACTGACGGAAGGAGAGGAGAGAGAAGCACTGACCAACCAAGTTTGCACGTCCACGGCAGTAATCATAGCATTCTTCACTATCCGGACACCATGACAGCACGTGAGGGCGAGGCAGTCGACACTGGAATCGGCGGGCAGGAATCACAACTTGGAACTAAGCAATGCTAAACAGTTTTGCTTGACGCCAGATCCGATTACCTCTATTCAATCGCGAGTCGTTCAAACGACTTTTGTCTATCCGTTACCGCCATGGTATCCAGCCCACTTTAACAACCGGGCTTTCCAGCTCTAGTCTACCTCTAGCAAAAAGCACCAACGCCCCCGGGTTCCATGAACCCTTCGAATCCCAAGACCGCCAATTGCTTGCGTGAACGCTTCAATAGCTGTATGTGATACCAATCCAGCAGAAACCAGCGATAACCAGAGAGACCAGCTCCTTTGCTCCAAACTCTACCCAAAACGGTCAACGTCGTCCGTCCAGCTGTCCAAAATACAAACCGCGCATACGAGAAATAGAATGACCACGACGACCACCAACCTCTCAGAGGCTTGACCAACTTTCTGCAGCGCTCTAGGCCTGACCAGTCTCCCCACCCTCAGCCGCTCTCTTCTCCGCCTTCTCCTTCTCTAGCCTTTCCACCCGCTCTCTTCGCCAGCGCTCCCCAAACCTCCACTCCAGCCAAAGCAATGGCGTAAAAGCTGCAGTGACAATAGCAAGAAGAAGGAACGTCAACCCCGCGCCAATCGCGTCAATGATGAACTGCACCAGCGCGACGCCAACAGCGCCAATCAGACACCTCACAAGGTTATTAACCGCTGACGCGCTCGCGCTCGCTCCTGGGTAGAGGTCCACCATAAGGGTGCTGTTCAGATTGAACAAGCCCATCTGGGTGAAGGCGATGAAGAACTGCAAGACCAGGGGCAATGCCATTGCCTTCTTTTCAGTGCCGAGGCGGGGGCTGGTGATGGCGAATCCGTATCCCGCGACGCAAATGATAAAAGGGATGACAAAGTACAGCGACGAACGCAGGCGGGCGCGCGAGATGGGGAAGTCGGCCAGCTTCTTGCGGTTGATCTCGACGGAGCTCGAGAGATGGTGGGAGGCGCGGTAATCGGTCTCGACGATCTTATAATCGCGGTTCATGATCTTGCCCGAGAGCAAGGAACCGCAGATGCAGCCGATGCCGTTGGGGATGAAGATCAGACCAGTTTGCAGATCGCCGAGGCCGAAGCGCGGCTGGAATAGGGCGGTGGTGGAGGAGGTCACCATGCTCCAAACTGTGTAGACGATGGCGCCGAAGAAAAGGGTGACGATGACGTCCTTTTCGGCCATGAAGCGGAAGGAGGCGAAGAGAGTAGAGCAGGTCAGCTTGGGTGGGGGAGCGGTGATGTCGTCTTCTTCCCGAGTGGCGTCTCTTTCTATCCAGTAGCGCTGCCGGAGCTGACGGTCGAAGAAGGGACGGTGAATGCCCTTGAGTGGGACGGTGCCGTTCCCGGCTACACGGCGGAGGGTTTCCGGGAGGAAAAGCAAGATCGCGCCCAGCGTAATGCTACCAAGAACAAAGAGAAACCAGAAAATTGCGTGGAAGCCGAGATACTCGGTAATGATGCCTCCGATGACTGGGCCCATGGACAGACCAAACATGCGGACTAATGAATTTGTCAGTCACGCCCTTCCCTTCTCAACCACGTCGATACGGATTGGACTCACCTGCGCTAAACCCTGCCATATAGCCGCCACGCTCCTTTGCTGTCGTAATATCGCCAAGGACACCTCCTCCTAGAAAAGCAGACACAGTTAATGCTTGATCTTCAACGAAAATCGACGATACAAAAGCGACGAGTCTGACGTACCGACAGAAATAGTAGCAGCACTACCAAATGCCTGAATAGCACGAAATACCATCAACATCGCAAAATTCTTGCTGAAAGCCAATGCAATGTTGGCAATGAGAAAAACAAGAAATGTCCCGATGAAAGTGACACGGCGTCCGCACGTGTCGCTTAGGGGACCCCAGAACGAGGGGGCAAACGCTTGCACTGCCATGTAGATGGTTACAGTCAAGGATACAAGCGCGATGTCGATGTGAATAGACTGAGAGTACGTTAGCGATGCTCTTTACCTCTCTTGGAACCCTTCTTCTGCTCAAACGGGTGACTAACATTGGCAATGGCGCCCAAAGCCGGAAAGTAGATATTGCTGGAGAGAGGAGAGAAGAGACCCGCCACTGCGATGATGCCCGTGACCAGCCATTTTTCCTTTTTGGTGAAAACATGATAGGGCGGTTCTGGTAGGCCTGAGTCGTTGATGCCTTCAATCTGAGTGACTGATGTCGTCGCTGATGCTTTGTCTGATTTGCTCTGGCCCTCGAACTTCTCGTCTACTTCGGTGCTGCTTGAGCTTTGAGTGGATTCGCTTGCTGTGCTCTCTGTACTTTCTGTCCTCTCATGTTTCGGCCGATTTGGAAAGGGAGAAGTAGGAGTTTGAGGACTCTTCAAGTGCCAGAAATGCGATTGGTCAGTTTTTGTAGCGCTTGGTGGCGCAATAGAAGGCGGATCTGGTGTTGGATCTGGTACGGTTGTTTCCGGTTGGTTGGTGTTGTTGCTGTTGTTCTCGTCACCCAGAGTATGTATCGTACCGCGGTTCTCCCAAGATGTGGAGAGCCTCTGAGCATCAACCACGGCTGGTCGCTTGTCGTCCACAGACAATGCCATTGTGAGCTCTAGTATCAATCAATCTGCTGGCTCTGGGACCTCGGTGGAGGTACTATAGGCTGAGTGGCTCGTACGGCGATGAAAGTTTGAACATGGGAAATGATCGATATGAAACGATATGGGATTATATATACAGGAAAAACACCCCAGGTTATAGCAGAGCCAGTCTGAGGTAGCCAGCTACCATGTAGACTGTTCGGGAAAGGAAACTTAATGACTGGACAGTTGAGAGATTGAATGGAGAGGCAACAATGGGAAAGTCAGTGCGGCGAAGGTTATTTTGGGTCGAGATAGTAAACAGTGGCTTTCGGTGTTCTATTTGCCCAGGCATGATCGGCCACGGACTTTGGGTCTGGGGTGGTGTTTCATCGCCACTTCGAATAGACACCTAATGGGAAGACCTAAAGTTAATTAGATGTGATATGATTTGAGTAAAGAGAACAGAGGCCAGAAACAACGTAAAGTTTTGTGTAGGGATCCCTGCCATGAAGTTATCTTGCACAGTCTGTAACGCATTTAGATGGCGATCTGGTTAGACGCACATGCCATGAAACCAACGCCCCATGGGGCAGACGAGCTGCAAGTGTTTGGAGACTAGGTCTAGATGTTTGGGAAGCGGTCTGTTCGTAACAGGAGCTTGGGCGAACGCCTTGGGGCTTAGGTATGCACGATTGTGCACAGATGATCCGAGTAACTCCCATGCACACCGCAACAGACAACAGCACGCAAGTACCGTTTAACGGCCCTGAAAGAAAGCTCAGTCCATGTTGATGCAGGGCCGCGGGTTCTCGGGCAACTATTTTTTTTTATTAGGTACGGGTACTACTTGACCTCAGAACAACAGACGACTGTGAAGAGTTGCCGCGAAAAGAACTCGAGGTCGATCAAGGGATCTACTAAGAAAGGCTTGCAGTACCATACCAAAATGCTTGATTCAACCAGCCCAGCTCAAGTTACGGCAGCGGACTTCTACGATATGTCTAAACATGGGAGCAAACGACTTCCTTAAGACTGAGATCAGCTATTGTACCTTTTCCATGCCCATGCTTAACAGAACTTGGTACACTACCATAGGAACCACAGAAACTCGCAAATTGTCCCACAACTAAGTCTCTCGCTATTCTCACACCCACCGAAAATAGACTCCGTTCATCCTTGAAGCACTTTGTCTAGAACGCTAACAGCCCGGATCGGCTGTCCCCGCCCTTCCCACCCATTTGAAGCGATCTCGGCTGATATTCAAGTGTACTATAATTACATGTTGAGCGAACATTCATGTCAACTACCCAGCTAACTCTACAATATGGACTAGACGCTTGGAATGCCACATGCTGCGTATCACCACAAGGAATTAACAAAAATTAGCAATGAGGAAATGTAATTTCTACGAAATCACACACATTTTCGCCGGGCAGACTCCAGGTCTGCCACAATCAAAACAACGGCGTCACCCATTTCTAATCGGTCATGAAACGTGCACATTTTCCCATCAACATCATTAACATCGTAACCGCGAAACAGGCAATGGAGAATTCCTGCGTTTGAAACGTTGCATGTTTCCCGTAAGTTTGTGAGACTTCTCTTTCACAACTTGAAGCATTCTAAAATCAAATATATCGTAATCGTTTTTGCAAGAGCTTTTATTGGAGAGTGTTGAGTGTTGGTTCGGCCCTCCAAAGGTGGCAGATGGCCCCGGCCCGGCATGAACGGTAACTATGCTATCGGACACTCAAGTTTTACTAGACGATCCGTCTACGGGCAATGTTCATACTATGATATAGCCGAAAAAGAATTCTGACATCCCCAAAACTGATGTTAGATGATGCGAGAAGCTGTAAAGAAGAGGCCGGACCAAGCCGAAGCGCGTGGTGGTGTAGTCAACAGCTCTCGGCTCTGGAGGTAAGGATCCGGCCTTGGCAGCGAGCCCGGGTCTTGGCATTCCGTTACTATCTTGTGATGATCGCCGAGCCCAGCTTCCGGGCCCCGAGCCACGCAAAACATGACACACAGCAATGCTCGACAGAGCTCAAGACACTCGGCGCGTTTGATTATTCAATTGACAGGCTGAGGAATACTATGTGATTCATTGTTGATATCCATTTCCCAAGCACTACCACTCCTGGTGTCTATTGTGGTATCTCTTCCGAAACTCAAACCCCTAGTCTGCCCGCTCTGTACAATTTTACCAAGCTGACCGACACAACTTGTCAAATTGCCATGCTTTTATCGAAGCCTATTCCACGTAACGCCGTCCCATGACAATGCTTCACTCCAGCATGCTGATATAAAGAAATCAAAGAACTGAGAAGAAGGCTCCCATCGAAACAAAGACCTCCTCTGCCATTGTATCGCAACACAACATCTTGTGTTAACGGACCAAGGGGTGGACTTGCTTGTTCGTCAACCTCGTGACAGTAATCGTAAAGTTGTTGGGGTCGAAAGTTCGCGTCCCTGGGTTATACCAAGCCGTGACATATGCTGTTAACCAATGCTTCTTCGTCTCAAATTCGATCATACCGGCAAAGGCCATCGACCCGCGCGGTGGATCAGGTCGAATTGGTTTCCACACCTTCCTGTACGTCTTGGTGAATATCTCCCATGGGCTGAGCCCGATGAATTCCCGCAGCTGGGCCAAAGCCCATTCCTGATCCTTTTTCTCTTCGCCGGCCTTGGGCGGCTCTTTGCTGGGAGGGGGTCGATTCATGGTTGTAAGTATCCCTTTGTTCTGCGCAGCAGCGTCGGGATCCATACGCCTTGCCGAGACCAGGGCACCAGGGTCCTGCACATCCTCCGGTCGTTGTGTTGCCTGTCGTCGGATGTGGTCCATCATTCTCTGAACGTCACCAGTGACCGTCGAAGGCAGTCCAGTTGTTCCGGTTCCCTGAGCTCGTGGCACCGGGGGCTCTGAAGGGGCGAAAAGACCCGAAAGACCGAAAAACTGCGAGACCTCCATCGCTTTCTTCTTCGCAAGGGTGGTAGCGACGGCCCATAGCGACAACGCAACAGGCTTAGGCCAGAACAACCGCTCAGCTTTCTTCACCTGTGGCGACTCCATCGATATACTAGCCCATCCGATTTCATAAGGCGTAATCATGATTCTGCCATCAAACGAAAAGTGTCAGCTCGACTCGAGCGCGCATGGGATCTGGTCTGAGACTTACCCGTAACGTTCGTATTCGGGAGGCGCGACCAAAGGATAAAATGCCTGGAGCCATGCTTTTTTGACATTCATTTCTGGTCCAACATAGTTTGTCAAGATTCGCTGATTCTTGAGCATCTTCAAGACCAGGCTGGCGATATCCTCTGTGTGAAATGTTAGTCTCCATATCCTTGCAACCAGATTCGTACGGTCGCTGCTACTAACCCTGAACTTGCTGTATCCGTTTCTGATCTTGTGCGAACTTGACGAACTCTTTCCACTCCGGACTGCGTGCCGAGTATGGCTCTGGCTTGAGTTTTTGCTCCGTTAGGGGAAAGGGGATGAAGACGTAATCCTCTTCTTCGTCATCCTCCTCTTCACCATGGCCACGGTCGCCGTCGAGATCATCCAAGGCGTTCGAAAGCATCCCTAGCACTTTCCTGTCGTAGTAATCGGCGCACACGTATAGAGTAATACCCATGGCCAGGGTCCGGAAGATTCGCCTGCCAAAAAGTACCCATGTCAGCACGACATATCCAGGCCATCTGGAATTGCCAGAGGCATTACCTTCTGAAGGAGCCATGCCTGATCCGTACTCCTTGCACAACAATCGGCTGCCCATGTACCATGTATTTTGATAAATTTCGGGAGGCCATGAGCGACCTCATCGGTCGGAAGAGGCGCGATGCCATGTTGGATGACTGTGGCACGCCCAGCCGGCGGCCGAAGAGTTGGAAGGATCAAAGGTCGCGGCCGCTCGTATGCGCCGAAAAAAAGATCAAATATGAGAAGAGAACGGCGAAACGGCTTTGGGCTTGACTGTGCTCGGCTTCGCTAGTAGCTCGTTGCGGGTTCGGGATGTGCGGCTCCGAGGACAGGTAAAGGCGCGCAGATATGTAAGCCTGCTGAGGGGGGGTTCCCGTACTGGAAGGGAGCGGGCGGCAGACGATGTCGAGAATGGGTTTCGTAGGCTTGTGACGATTGCGACAGCGGGACAGAAAGCCAATCTGAGAGATGGAAGTTGAAGACCGCGACCAGGCTACTAGTAGTTCCGGGGTCTGGTCGCGCCTCGAATTCCGGCAGAACGAATATGGGGTAGGATCACAGTGCGAGATTCGAGGGCCTTCTAGAGGTAAGCATCAGATGCCTCTCCCCTCCAGCGGTTCAGAAACGCTTGTTCGGTTCAGATGTTGGATGCCGCAGTGCGCATTGCTGTTCCCATTTTGCACGCTGTTTTAATGATACCAACAGTGCGTTGGGGTAATGTGCTACTGTACTACCCGTTATATACAGGTACTAGTACTGTACCGTCAGGTACTTGCCCGACTGGCATCCCGGCGTCGGTCCTCCATATGGCGTTAGGTAGCCAGTTGAGGGCAGCTGTCACGGTCGTGCTTCACAGTGGACGGATGGGCGAGTGGTACCGATGGTAGCGATGACCACTGCAATTCAGTGGGCGCATTCATGTCAGCCCAGGCTGGGCTGCTGGGGAACTTGTGGCAGTGGGGCCCGGACGGGATTCATCATTCGGCAGGAAGCTAGGTCCATCCAACTCCGACTTCCAGTCCATTGTGTCTCCGCCAGCGACTTTACAAACGTCACTGGGACACTCCTCATCCAACATTTATCACCGGCCGCATCGACCATTCGGCTGTTCTCAAATATGAGGTTCCTCACCAGTATAACTTTGGCAGCTCTGTCTGGGCTTGCTGCTGCTGCATCACAGCAGAGTGCCGATGTCTTCATCCTTGATTCCAAGCAACAACAAGAACAACCATCCCGCGAAGTACCCCGGCTACCAAAAGAAGTCGTTCGCCATATCCTTCTCCAGAGGGCAAGTCAAACACACGCAGCTCGGCGCGTAAAATACCTACTCAGGTCTGATCTAACCTGCGCAACAGGCATCCAGAGACAACTACGGCAGCGACCTTCGCGACATCCCTAGCTCTATCGATACCGAGGCCGCGATCAGCTTCATTGCAAAGTTCGGCAAGAGTCCGGCACCTCTTTTCACCCAGACCGAGACGAATGATCCATCACAACTAGTTGTCATCCTCGAGGGCGTCACTGCCGAGAATGCTGGGCCTTTGAGGGATTCGCTCGCCAAGTCAAGCCAGCATGCCACCTTCGCCATTTCAGATCCGCCATCCAAGGTGGCCAATGATCGACTGATGTCGCTTTTCCAAAACCTGGGTATTGCTACGCCGGAGCAGTGCGACCTGGCCTCTGCCATCAACCCTGTCAATGGAGACTGCTGGACGGGCTCCTCGTCGGTGGTCAAGTATGATATTCAGAAGGTGCGTTACAATCAGAGGACGCTTCTACACCCGTTGCTAGTTCAATAACCAACTCAACCTCTGTTTATTAGTCGCCCGAGGCCCTCGATACTCTCGTCGACAACCTGAACCGTCTCAACAAGTTCATCTCCTCCGGCGACCTCGAGACCGTCCTCGTCCTAATGCCCGAGTCGAGCCGTTCCTCCAAGCTCAACCATTGGAGCGTCAAAGCCGCCACCGGCTCCTCCGATCTCCGCCGTCGCTTCAACTCCGAGACCGTCATCGTCGACGATAGCGTCCGCGGCGCGAACGCTGCCGTTGCCCCGACCCAGCCTCCCCTCTCCCGCCCGACTAACAGTCACCTGCAGACCGCCGCTAAGAAGGCGATTCCGCAGTGCTTTACCTCGGAGAAGAGCTGCGTTGACCAGACGGGCAACTGCTCGGGCCACGGCACGTGCGTGGACAAGTGGGGAGGCAAAAACGGTAGTACCGAGGCTGGCGGAGCTAGCTGCTTTGTCTGCAAGTGCCTGGCTACTATGGACAGCCGCCCTGGGGCCCCGGGCAAGGCCTACAAGACTGTGCACTGGGGTGGTAACATGTGCCAGAAGGAGGACGTCAGCATGCAGTTCTGGCTTATTGCCGGGTCTACCATTGCCCTTGTCGGTGCCATCGCCTTTGCCATTGGACTGCTGTTCGATGTGGGTCAAGAGAAGATGCCCGGTGTTCTGGGCGCTGGTGTGGTTAGGGGGTCATCGACTAAGTAAGAGGTGAAGTGAATCGAGAATGGAGGGGCTTCCTCGCCCCTCGATAACGGATACAAACGTCAAAAGATAACAACACCAAGACAAGATACAGAGAGCTATCGTATGCTTATTGATTAGATGCGGCGGGTATGGGGTGTATAGGGTGTGTGCGTGTGGTACAATCAGACATCCTTAGACTGTTGGCTGGTTGCACCACTACTGATTTTACAATGTTTAAGGGCGTCAGCATCATTGGCAGGCAGGCAGGCAGGGATGGATTGAGACATGGTTAACGCAAAGTACGAGCTAGGAGATGGCGCGGTTTCCTTTCCGGGCGATTTTCATAAAGACTTAGTATAAAACAGACATTTACAATGGATGAAACTCGGGCTAAGTCTATAGGGGATACTGTTTGTTATTGAAGATGATGTCATTATTGTAAGCCCGTAGGACATATGTCCGTTTGGCGTTTTTGGTCTAAGCTCATTGTACCCATTACATCGCCATCTCAGTGTCAATATCACCAGGCCCCTTTTCTTGCGTTGGCGTCCCAAAGCTTTCCAACCCTCTCTCCTTAGAAGTCGCAGCTAGATCCGCTGCAAACCCAGGCGGCAATGGTCTCAAAGGCGACTGCGTGACAAACTTCAACGCATCACCAGACGTAGGCGCCCCCGAAGCAGCAACGGCACTTGTCACGGCCGTCGCTGCAGCACCAGCAGCAGTAGCACCGGCAGCATCAGCACCGCCCATGACAGCTTGATACTTGGCTCCCGCCTGGTTCAATATCTCCTGCACTTCTGTCTCCCTGGTCAATATCTCCTCCTTCTCCCTCTCCAGACTCTCTATCCTCGCCTTTCGTCTGCTCACCTCATCTTCCAACCCCTGTACCAGACCCTTCATGCGCGCCAACACCTCCCCCAGCTCCGGAAGCGGTTTCATCTTGGGAATTTGGTTCACTCCCCCTACCCCTCCTCCTCCTCCTCCTTCTTCGTCTGTCTCCATCAAGTCGTCTTCCGGTTTGTGCAGCCCGTCCATACCCGCCCGCCGCTGCGCGGCCTCGTACGCAGCCCGCCGCTCCGCCTCGCTGTCGTCGCTCTCGGCATCAGAACCGGCCTCCGCGGCCTGGATCATCTCCGCCATCTCCTGGCGGTGCCGCTTAGCGGCTTCGCGCTCGGCTTTGCGGCCCAGCGCAAGCGAGCCGTCAGTCACGAACTCATCGTAGCCTTCGCCCAGGTCTTCGTCTTCGGCTATGAGGCGCGATTCGGATTTCTTGGCCTTTTTGTTGATACCCAATGTGATGCGTTTTCGGTCGTCGTTGTCGGAGCGGTCACTATCGTCGAGTGCGATGAAATCGTGTTCCTTGGCAAGGCGCGCGCGCCGCTCTTTGCGCTCGCGGATCTCGGCTTCGGTGAGGACATGGGCTGCTGCTGCTGCGGGGGCATCGCCGGTGAGCGCTAGGGGCATGTCGCGGGATTGAACAATCATGGCGCCGTCAAGCTCGGAGGGGTCGAGGTCCATGGCGTCGCCCGTTGTTCCGGGCGCGGCAGACGCCTCCGGCAACGGTGCGCTGTGGGCTTTGAGGCTGTCATCGTCATCGTCGTCAATGATGCTTAGCGAGGCGAGATTCTGTGGTGTGGCTGGCGTGGAGCTTTGTAGTTCTTCAAGGTATTCTTTGCTGTACCGAGGCTTCTCTTCGTCGGCGCCAAATGTGCCGAATCGTGCGGTCAGGGCGGACTTGCGAAGCGCGTTCTTCTCGGCAACTCGTTGGCTCAGCGACTTCTTGCTTGGGGCGCTGACCACGTCGCTGCTGGCAGTTGTTGTCGTATCATTGCCGCCGTCTTCCGTGTCGCCTTCGCTGGCTCCGAATGATAGTTTTGAGATGCGCTTCTTCTTGCTGGAGACTGAGCGGCCGAAACCGGGCCGTACTACGAGCGGCACACCAGTGTCCTCCTCGGCTTCTGTTACCTCGGGCGCCGTACTTGTGCTGGTTGACGTAGGTTGGATTGCGTCGCCGCTGGTTTCTTGTGGATTATCGTTACCGTCGTTGATCTTGATCGTTCTTCGTAGTGACGAAGATTTGGTAGGCTTGCTGCGCCCAAACTTGATCGGTCCTTGTGGTACTGGTTCTGTTCGAAGGCGTATCAGCTTGCTTGTTCTTTGGTTTGGTATCAGCACTGAGATTTTCTATGCTGGATAGGGATGGGCATGGCCATGTAGTAACTTACGTTCGTTCTTCGGCTCCTCTCCTCCAAGCACCGTAGGAAGGTCGCCATCCTCATCGTCAAAGGTCTGGATAATGCGTGGCTTGCGCTTTCCAAAAGAGCTCATTTTTATGATGATCGACTTGGATAAAGTGTAGAAAGTTGTCTGACAGGGAATTTGTGATAGCGATGTAGTATTGAGGCGGGCGTGTTGTTTACAGGTGAGTTTGTAGTGCAAAAAGGTGTCCAGACAGCTAGTAGGAAGCTTCGAAATGCACCCTGGAGAATGACGCTGGTGGGCGACTGGATGTCACTGCACTGAACACTGCAATGACCCAAAGACAACGCGAATTGCGGTTTCTTATCTTATCAGTGTCCCCACGTGATGGCCTGGCGGCCGAAAATCACTGGGGACGGTCGCGATTGCACGCGCTGCACAAGGCCCGCCTTCCAGGTCGTTTCAGTGGAGAGTTCCTAGCCAGAACGACGCCATTGCCATTCATTGCAGCAACTCTCTCGAGACCATCCTAGACAACCAACACAACCTCAAGATACAATGGCGCCCGCACAACCTGAACTGAAGAAGGTAAGAAATTACTCTTGGAGAATTGTCTTTCACGGTGAATGGCAGCTGGCTGGTCGAGACTATGCCATTGTCGCATCTTGACCTCCATGTTATTGTTTTGTTTAACATGGTGTAGTGAGCTAACCGACCACTTTCCAACCAGTACCTCGACAAGAGGCTCTTCGTCCAACTCAACGGCAGCCGCAAGGTCATCGGTGTTCTCCGTGGCTACGATGTACGAGATCTCCCCTTTACGAATTCGAACATGATAATTGACGGTTCGCGACGTCATAGGTCTTCTTGAACATTGTTTTGGACGATGCTGTTGAGGAGAAGGATGGTGGTGAGAAGGTCAAGCTTGGCATGGTGGTATGTTCATCATCTAAGACAGGTGCTGTCGTGTCTCCTGCTGACGAATGTGCACACAGACCATCCGTGGTAACTCCGTTGTGATGATGGAGGCTCTCGAGAGAATCGGCGGCGATGAGAGGGGAGGACAGCGCGGCTAATCAACAATCATCTTCTCGCAACACGATAAAACGACCCTGCGCATATACAAACGCCTACAACAAAAGGCGAGGCATCGGAATAAGCGGATGACAATTGACGGGATTTGACTATATACCAAGGCGATTTACAGTTTACGACGACATCTACAGTGTTCCACGCGGTCTTGGACGGTGAAAAGCTAGGTGGGTTGGCTGGTACGGCGTTCAGTTTCACACGAGGCATGTATTCGGGAAAGCTGCATTATCTTCAACTTTGAAAGGGAAACATCTGCGGCGGTGGTTGAAGAAAAGATACCCAAAGGATTTTGTTTATTTTTTTTGGTTTTTTTCACGTACAGCTCTTCTCCGACAACAGCTGCTTCCACGTCTTCTCGTCATAACCGTCCACCATGCGGTCGCCGTACATCCGCACCCAGCCTCGAATCCCGCCCGTCATGACCTGCGACTGAAGATCGCCGCCTACTTCGTTGATATAATCTTGCATCCAGGCGGCACATCGAGGGCCCCGTCCAGCGGAGGAGCCTGGGGGAAGAAGCATTGGTGTTAGGGAGGATCGGCGGTAGAGGTACGAGTTCAAACAGCATAGGATTGATTGGACTCTGTCCCAGGAGTCAATGACAGAGAAAGTCAAACACGTACCACAATAGAATATCACCTTTTGAATCCCGGCCTGTTTGCACAAAGCGTACAAGCTCTTGCGCGTGGGATAGAAGCTGTGGGCGGGCAGGTTGATTGATGAGCTGACAGTTCCTCCGGTACAGTCTGTCCGGCGACAATCAACAAGCAGCAATCTGCGCGATTGGGGCATGTCATCGACATGTTCTTGCTGCTCAAGAAGCTCGAGGACAGTCTCGGGCTCGATATGGACCGGCGTCGAAGTTGGCTCTGGAAATGCTGCCCACCACGGTGTACCATCCTCGCGCCTAGCCATGCGTAAGCAGTGTTCGTGAACGTGTATCGTCATGTTGAGGCAGTCGCTGAGTTAGTTTCTCATTGACTGATTTCGTAGGTCAAAGCCGAAGAAATGTACTGTTGATGCATTGTCCGGTATATGAAGGGCAGCCAGGGGTAAACTCTTTGTTTGCCACCCTGGATTGGGGCGGCTCCGAAATCTAGTCACATCTTTCAGCAAGCCACGCCGCCAATACTCATCTCGCAGGACACGTCCTCGGCAGTCACGTCCTATCATATATCACTTGTCTCGTACGATCGGATCCTCTGATGCCTTTGGAGGGATACCGCATCCGGAGGTAGTCCTTCCTATCCTATTACTCCATGGAATTTTTCAGGAGATCGCGGCTAATGAGGGACGACAAGATGATTTTTTGACCAGCTCATGAACGCGACATACTGCCTGGTCTCGTCGCTTCCAGGTAATTTAGTAACCATGAGCATGTTATATTTCTTATTATCCATATTCATGCCCCTCGCCATTTACCCGGAGATAACTGATAGCTCCGAGATCTTGGTTCACTCGGCCCAGCATATAGGGGGATATCACATACATAACGGATTGTTGAGGTGTGTAAGATGCGGCACCAGGACACCTGCGACGAAGCGCACCGTTGAATATACATGGCGTTGTATGGAAGATTGATAAAAGATGAAACCAGGGCGTTTAGAAGGTATACAGTAGCAAGACGCTCCCTCCAACAGCCCAGCGACACCTGAGAGCTATTCTGATCTAGTCGTTACGGTGTAACTTCCACCAAAGAATGCCCACATCTCCCAAATCAATTTGTGCTCGCTTCGTTGTTCCATTTATTCATCATAGTACTATTCCTCGAGCTCCTCTTCATACTCCTCTCTCGCCTCCTCGAGCTCTTCCTGGTCACTACTGCTTGCAGAAGACGACTGTGCCTCTGCTAGAGCTTCCTCGTAATTCCTACGGGCGGAAGCAATCGACTCACGGTCACTCTGGTCGATCTCCTCACCATACACATTTGTCGTCGGGATGGGACCATCAAGAGGCGGGGGCGGAGCGCCGTAACCACCACCATAATCGCCACTGTAGCTATCACCGCCATAGGCCGCGGGAGGTGGCGGGGGAGGTGCAGCGCGGTGCTCATTGTCAGAGTCGGAGTCTTCGGCTACATTAAAGTGTTAATACAGCCATATATTCGTCGTAGCAAGGGTTCGCCATGGTGAAGAAGGGAGAGATGGAAAACTTACCCAGCTCATGAGCAAGAACAGCACCACCAACGGCACCAACAGCCAGACCAGCAGCTGCGCCCATACACAAACCCTTGTTATCCTTCTTCTTCTTTTCTTCTTTTACCGGCTCGCTACCATATGCCTGCTGCTGGTCATAGCCGCCGTAGCCTTGTGGCGGCGGGGGCTGTTGATAACCACCATACTGTTGTCCACCACCGCCACTGTAGCCATAGTCGGGAACACCACCGTGACCTCCGCCGTACTGCTGCTGAGGAGGAGGATAAGAACCGTCGCCGCCGTAGCCGCGCAACTCTTGCTCACCACCACCACTGCCACCGGCACCGGCGAGCCTGGACCTCTCAAAGCCGGGGGCTTCCCACTGCGAGCGGCCAGTGGCCTCTTCAACGTAGTACCATCTTTGATACTCGTCGTCCCATTTCGGCGTCCAGCCTGAGGGCAGGGGCGGCTTGTCGGATGGAGGGTTGTAAGACGGCGCTGGCCTGGATTCGTAATTTGGAACGGGGGCGCCGGGAGGGGCAGTGTAGCCGGACTGTTGAGGGGAGTACTCTCCTTGATAGCCGGGCTGCTGAGGGGGAGGGTGCTGGTAGCTGCCGCCGTGGTATGGAGGCTGCGATTGTCCCTGAGGAGGCTGAGGAGAATATGATTGTTGTGGCGGCGGCTGAGGAGGGGGGTAGTAGTCGCGCGAGCCTGGCAGACGGAGTTAGTGATGGGTTTATGGACTGTGATCACGGTGTTGCGGGGACTTACCGGAGTAGCTTCCCGGCTGTTCCTCCTTCTTGTCGACGAGACCTAGCTTGCCTAGATCTTCAACAAGGTCTTTCTTGAGCTTCTTGAAGAACGACATGGTCACGATGATTCAGCTTGCTCTCTCTGGAGTTGGCTGCGGATTCTGTGGTGTAGCGGAGGGAGAAAAAGTGGAAGCTTCGAGGTTCGGGGGGAAGGACGACGGGGGAGGTCAAATGAGCACGAGCACCTGCTGTGAGAACCTTTAGGGACAGACGGGCAGGTATGATTCAAGCAATGACTGTAACAACCAAGGCTCGGCAGGGCACTGGACTGAGATGGATATCCGACGAATACCGTATCAAACGCCATCCATGAACATCCGGCCTTATGCAGTCAGTGTAGGTAGAGGTACGCAAGGGGGCACGCAGTGCTCGGCGTGTTGGCTGCCTCTCAGATGCTCACAACATCGATCCGGTCATCCTCCACCTGTTCCTGGAGTAGGTACCTAACTGTGCCATCCGTACCCCAAAGTGCCCCTCAAAGTGCCTGCCCCTCCTCCGCAAATCAAGGCCCCGTTCTTCATGCAAACACAAGCGGTATGTATCACCATTGAAGCCAAGCACGACTTCCGCTTCAATATCTTGGCATGGTCGAGAATGGAAGGAGGAAGATGAGGAAGAAGTCTTGGAACGGAATGATGCGGAAGATGCCTGATGATGCATCCATTCATTGCCTTCACCAAGGAAATGCCACTATAGCCCGTGCCACATGTACCTACTTTATGTGTATAGCAGCAACTGAATGGTCCATATCGGGAGCTCTTGCTCTTGGGGGTTTGAGGTTAGGCAACGAAGGTTCCCTGCTATGATCACTACTTCCCGTTGTTTCCGAACGTTCCAGGGACTCCGTTGGGTGCCATGGCAGCATGGAGTCCATGGGAGGCAACCGGCAAACCCCACACTGCAGGCTCATGGTGCAGCGGGATGACGCGGTTTCAGGGACCCCATCACGGTTCCAGCTTAGCGTGTGAGACACTGGACACGGCAGCGCTGAACAGAAACAACAAAACGAACAGAACACATTGACTTCTTCGCTCCCCAAAAAGACAATACATACAACCAGGGTCTTGGACTTCCATAACAGAACCTCAAGTCTCTCCCAGCTCCTCTCTGTCTTCTCTCCACGCGCTTCCATCTTCCCCGTCTATGCGAATCCCTCCTTCATCGATCACCATCTGATCTTCACCACCAATGTCGTACGGATACCCTGGACAAGGCTACGGCCCCGGTGGGGGACACCACCAACCTCCCCCTCCTCAGTGGGATGGCCAGCAGCAACACCACCATCAGGGAGGCTATGGCTACTCTAATCCGGGACAGGGCCAGTACAACCCTCAGCCTCCTCAGGACCAGGGCTACGGGGGATATCACCAACAACCTCCTCAGCAGTATCAGCAAGGCAGCTACAACCAGGGACAGTATCCCCCACAGGGCGGATATGGGGGACATTACGGACAGCAGCAACAACACCATCAGCAGGGACATTCCCAACGCCCCACTGGTCCTCCTCCCGATGGCTATGATATCTACGGCTACCCAATCGGCTCTGGTCACCAGGCTCGTGATCAGGGTTCCCACGAAATCCACGAGATTCCCTCGGGCACACAGCAGTTCGGTCATGGTGCTCCTGAAGGCTATGGCTTCCAGTACTCAAACTGCTCGGGTCGCCGCAAGGCATTGCTGATTGGCATCAACTACTTGGGCCAGGATGCCGAGTTGCACGGCTGCATCAACGACACCAAGAACGTCTCCGCCTTCCTTGTCGAGAACTATGGCTATAAGCGCGAGGACATGGTCATTCTTACCGATGACGCCACAAACCCCCTCTTGCAGCCGACAAAGGAGAACATTCTTCGTGCGATGCAGTGGTTAGTTGCTGGTGCTCAGCCCAACGATGCCTTGTTCTTGCATTACTCCGGTCAGTTAACCTTCCCTTCTGAACTATACCCGCGTGCTCCCACTGACTAGGTAGCCTACCACCGACAGGCCATGGTGGGCAGACTAAAGATACCGACGGCGATGAGGACGACGGCTATGATGAGGTCATCTACCCTGTTGACTTCAAGACCGCCGGCCACATCGTCGACGATCAAATTCACGATACCGTCGTGAAGCCCCTCCAACCCGGTGTGCGATTGACTGCCATCTTTGACAGCTGCCACTCTGGCTCCGTTCTTGATTTGCCCTATATCTACAGCACTAAGGGCGTCATCAAGGAGCCCAACCTTGCGAAGGAGGCTGGTCAGGGTCTGCTTGCGGCTGTTGGCTCCTATGCTCGTGGCGATATTGGAGGCATGGCCAGCAGCCTGTTCTCCGTCGCTAAGACAGCGTTTGGCGGCGGCAATGAGGCCTATGAGCGCACCAAGCGGACAAAGACATCGCCTGCCGATGTTATCATGTGGAGTGGTAGCAAGGACGATCAGACTTCGTATGTTGCCATCTTTCCCCTTTGGCGACTTCAGTTTAGGCGTGTGTGGAACCAAAAAATACTGACAACTCTTTCAGGGCCGATGCGACAATCGCGTCCCAAGCCACGGGAGCCATGTCTTGGGCCTTTATCACCGCCATTAGGGCGAATCCCAAGCAGAGCTACGTGCAGCTGCTCAACAGCATCCGCGATGTGCTCGAGACTAAGTATACGCAGAAGCCTCAGCTCTCCAGCAGTCACCCCATCGGTACGTTTTGTCTGGTGCCCACCCGCCCCCCTTTTCAGTGCGTATTTGATGTCGCCATTGATGAAGCCAAGTGCTCATAACATGAAACACGCTGGCTCGGCGTCTCCCAACTTATCCTATCTCAAGCCAAGAGAACCAAGACACTAACAAGTTGCGGAATTACTGCGTATATAGACGTCGACATGCTCTTCGTCATGTGATTTCGCCGGTAATAAGCCGGCCTCTCTTTTTTCAGCTGAGCAGTTTGTCGGCTCGCTCCGCGTCAATGTCCATCCTTTCTTGTCCACGTTGCTCTCTCTCGCTTCGGCCGACTTGCATTATCGGATCGAATAATGCCGATCTGGTGAGAGGGAAGCACAGAGAGAGCCGAGAGAGAGGCCCCCGAGGTTCGCGAACGTGGCACTCATTGTGAATGTGGGTCGCCCTGTCGATCTGCTGCTCAATTCTGATAAGGGGCATTGGGGGGGTCGTCAGAAATTCTAAGCCCCTGGAGATCGGCAACTGTTCGTACCCCCCTTCTAACGGAATTCAGTTCAAGAAGATCATCAAGCACTCGAACAAGACTACAGGGGACAAGGTCAAGGGGACATACAAAGGCTATATTTCCCTCACTCAAACTTATCAGCTGAAACCAAGGGTCCAATTCGCGACCGGGAAGGGAAGAAAGAAAGGAAACAACGCAACTTCCCAAAACTTGGAAGAGGATGGGGATCTTGATTTTGGTATTAGAAAGCCACGGGGGTGAATGGCTTTGGGCTGCAACTTCAAGCTTGGCCCATTTCCTCGGGGACCTGCTTTGTGGATCAGAGCATGGGGGCCACATGGCATGGACGCCGACCGATTTCCTGGTACCTTGGGAGTCTAGGAAGAAAAAACAAGAAGAAAGAAAAAGAAAAAATATAGGAAAAAAAAAAGAAAGAAAAAAAAAGAGTAAACAAGGTGCGGTTGGGCTCTTTTATTGGGTGGAAGTACGATACACAATCCTGGAGTATTCAAATCTTTCTGTCCCGTCGGTATGTCCCATGTGGTGGTTATGGTCGAAAAGCGCCTAGTTCTTTTTCTTTTTCTTTCCTTTTTTCTTTTCTTTTTTCTTCTTCTTTTTTTTTTTTTTTTTTTTTTTTACACTCTCTTACAGGAGCCCAGTAGCGTAGGTGGAGATGGAGATTTGTGAATACGACATATGATCTTCGGTCACTGTCCCCCGGTCAAAGTTCATGCCGAACAATTTCTCCATCGTCTTGGTGTGTTATCAGTGCACTGTAGTCGGCTTGTCTTTGGGTATGAACAATTTTTGTACTGTGTTGCTGTGTAGACGTGTTAGCTTGATCCACAGCACCAGTATGAGTGCTCGTGCTAATACTATAGTGAGTGTATTTCGAGTTCACTGTAGAACTACTGGTCATCTCTTGGTGGTGTTTTGGTTTCAACTGGGTGTTGCACATTTCGGCCCGTGACAACATGGGGATTGAGATGCTGGTTTTCATGGGCTGACATGCCCTGGTTGAGGCCGTCTTATGTGTGAGTCTGTCTGTCTGTATTTGTTGTTCATGCATTCTGGCCTTGTCCTTGTCCTCGCTTCACAGTTCACACCACCAATACGGATGTGGGAAGAGAAAAGGGGAATTGTTGTACGAGTAGCAGGATGAGGATATGGCACTGTGAAAGGAACATCCATCTCGTGCTTAATTTTACACACATCTTGTTGCTTGAAAAGTTTGTCTTTTTGACCCTAAGATGCTACTTTGTTTTCCTTCCTCCCATTTGACTAACCATCAAAGAAAAGTGGCTAGTCCAGATACCCGGTGTTACTTAACATACACTCCATATAATACAGGCAGATACACACAACTTGGTTTTAGATATTATACACTAGGTAATCAGACCACAAGGATGAACATGAGATAATAATGATAGGATGATGGGTATATTGAAAGAGTGAAAAAAAAAAGAAAGGTGATGTGAGTTTAAAGGACGTTAAGAGAGGTAGGCAGATAGAGAGATAAGGAAGACAACTGGTTGGGGAGAAAGAGGCAAAAAAAGCCACACAGTCCAATATAGTATGATGATAAAGAAAGAAATGAGGAGAGGGATGTAAAAGAATGTAGTAGGGGTGATCAAAGTGGTATTACACAAGTTTCGACACGTGGTTGGGAATATGCTGGCTGTTCTTCTTTTGGTTCTTCAGCCAGCCCAAACTCATCAAAATCACATAACCACATCCGTTGTTGTACATGATAAGACATAAACATAGTGAGAGAAGATTGGGGTTGGTGGGGGGCGGTGGCGAGCAAGGCTAACTGCTTGCTTCTTGCTGGGTAAGGTAGGTGGAATAAAGATCGTTGGAAGATTTGTTCTGGGGATAACATTAACGATAGTATTTCTCATTCAAATGATGTGAGTTGTTCCTTTTTTCTTTTTTTCTTGATTTTCTTTGGTGTGTGTGTTGTCCTTCATGCCCGAATAAGCGGCTTCAAGAAGCCCAGTGCCTTGTGAAGACTCTTCCTGCTCCTTACGGTTTCATCCTGTGAAACGAAAGAATCCCCAGAGTCTCGCCTTTCGCGGACGTACTTGGGCCACGTGTTTGTAAGCACGAGGTACTTGATGTCAGACTGAGCAGCATCGAAGACGGCAGCGTCAAAGGTTTGTGGGATATCGCCCGAGTAGTAGTGAGCTGCGTTACGGGGATGCGTGGCATGGGAGGTTGGTGGCGGGTCATCAAGGGGAAGGGTTTCTACAGACTTGAATTCACCCATGGGAGTCATGGACACCGCTAGCGAGTCCGACTTGGAGACGATGTTGACCTCGCTGTCGTTTGTGGGCTGGTTTGATCCGGACCAGTCAACTTCCGCGAAGGGTGTAGCTCCACCGCGGTTGATATCTCCGTACATGTTCCTAGCGGCACGCTCGAAGATACCCTCAAGCTTACGCAACTCGTGCCACGCAATGTTGATAGGAAACTCGGCGTCTCTGGTGCTAATGAACTCGGCATAAATACGAAGCGCCTTGGTAAACTGCTGGCGGACAACATCCGGCTCGGCGTTGTGACGGTTGCGGACGAAAGGAGGCGGCAGAGCGGCCTTCCACTCAGCCACAGCAGTGAGGAAAGCAATGTTCTCACCCGAGAAATCGCGGCGAGCAGAGAACTGGCGAAGAGGCTCCGGGTTCTTTTCGAGAACGTGCTCAAGAGCGGACATTGTGAGAACGCTATCATCGGTGGCGTTCTTGAAGTCTGGCGGAGATGCCTGGCCCATCTCCATAGTCGAAAGCTTTTTCCATGAATCTCTGACTCCGCTAGTGAAATGGTGTTCTCCAACCTTGGTTGAGGTTGGGCTAAGAGTAGGTCCACTATTTTCGCTGCCCCTACGCTCGGCATTGCTGTCGCCGTTACGGGCACGCAACTTCTTTGACTCCCAAGTAGCGATCGAATCAAGTGTCTCCTGACGCAGGTTGTTGTGCTTGCGAACTTGCCAGCAAGGGACAAAGATGGTGAAAATCTCCATGAACATGATGGAGAGAGCGATCCTGTTTGAACCAAGATTTAGATATTGCCATCAGGTGAGGGGGGAAAAGCGCTGGACATACCATTGAGGGGGTACGAAGACCGCGTTGACCGGTGCCATACCGGGAACGTAAAGAGCAATGAGCCACATAGGAGCCGCAGGCAAGCCAGCAATGCAGCAAGCCATGGTCTGGAGCTGCCAACCGTGGGTGTCATGGATACCACGAGACTTCCAGAGAATGATGGGAGCAATAACCCAAGCCCAAAGAAACTGCCAGAACAGCGAAGGCCACCACTCCCAACCTCTGCCTTGCTGCATGGCAATCTCCATAGGAGTTCCGCTCACCTCAGTACCAGGGATACCAAAGCTGGGGTGGAACTTGCGCGAGATCATGTAGATGAAGATAACAACAAAAAGCTAAACAAGGTTAGACACAGGCCGTACGGGCTCTAATGGTACTACTCACCTGAACGATCATGCCAATGGTAACGCAGGCAAACATCCTCTTGGAATAGTCCATTTTGCGCAAGCGGGCGATGAAGGTAAGCCTCTCTGGCGGTTGTTGCGCGTGCTTTTCGTCGAATCGAGACTCCATCTGGCTCAGTGGGCGAGCATACCGAGCCTGTGCCCTTGCGACATGCAGGAACTGACTGTTACCGGCTTGGAAAAGGGCGATGCCGAAAGGAAACCAGATGCTCATGATCCAGAACTCGGCGACTTCGGGGGCCATGGGTCCGATACTGTAGCCCAGCTGAACAGAAATCCAGTAGAGATGGAGAAGTGTGATACCGGCAAAACTGAGAGCAAGACCGCGTATCCTGAGAGTTGGGAGATCACGCTTGAGCCAGAGGAAGACCATGCCAGCCACCACCGCGGTCGTCCAGATAGCCCCCCATACAATCCACCAAATACCAATGGCATTAAGTCTTGGTCCAGGCTTGGTGTCGGGAGTGGTGCCAAATTCGGAGCCTACAACCTGAGCCTGGGCAGCGGAGAAGTCGGCTCGTTGTAGGAGGCGTGGGACAAACATGATGTCGGATGTTATATTGTCAACGTCGAGACGAGCGGAGTGGGTTACGGATATGGGTCGAAGCGACTCGGAGTGTCGTCAAGACACGTGGGAGGCGTAACCACTGAAGCGCAGTGTCATCTAGCAGTGTTGAGTGGTTGGTGTCCGACCAGTAGTAGTTGGTGTTGATGTTTGTTGAAGCGAGCGTAGTGAGTAGGTAGGCAAGCCAGGTGGGTTTTGTATCCTCCGAGGCCTTAGAGCCGGACCCGTAAGCAGAACGATAAAAGAGCGACTTGAGCTGGACGTAACACGAGTAAAGAGAGTGTGATGGTGTGCGGCTCAGCTCACGATCTGTAAGACCAAAAACAGATGTGATGAGATGCACGGAGTATGTATGAAGTAGTCCCCGGGGCGATGCCGAGAGAGATGGGAGAACTTGAGCAAGCCACATCCGAGGACGGGCGCATGAATGATAGATTTACTGCTTCTGCGAACAATTGTGTGCAAGCCAGCTCGGCAAATGATGTCCAGGATAGCCCCAGGATGCCAGGATGTGCACGATGTTGCAGGATAAGTTTGCAAGTAGTGTGGTGGTAGGGGGAGTGTAGATCCCGCGGGATACCTCTAGTGTATTTCCACTTTCTTCTTGGAGCGCAGGGGGCCCAGTGCGTAGGTAAGAGGTAGGTAAACCTGCATTTCAGCTCACGATCCCAGCCCATTCCCAGCGTCAAGCATTGCGCCCGCCCAGCTATCCGAATGTAGGATGTAGTGAGTCTGCTATCTTGTAAGACATATTGGTGTCTGCTGCGCCAATCACTACCTTGACCAGCTTGTGCCTACTTGGCTGTTTCGGTCATTGCCAGAGAAAAAAAAAAAAAAAAAAAAAAAAAAAAAGCCAAGCGCGCCGCAGGTACCGTGAAAGTGTGGACTATGGAGGGACACTTGACCCATAAGAGCAGGTGGGGGCAACAGAGTCAGAGACATTTCTAGACAAGCAGGTCAACGGCCCGAACAGGAATATCCAAATACATACTGGGTGAAAGTAGTATAGTGCTAACGAGAGGAGAGCACTTGAGCCTGTGATTGCAGATCGTTTCATCTCTCTGCCCAAAGCTCCATCATCACATTTGCTGGTTCCCATGTGCCCAGTGGGCCCCCCTTTCGCCATGTCCAGAGCTCCAGAGCGCCAGAAAGCGTGAGCCCAAGGCGCTGGCTTGTTGGTCGGCAGATGGCTTGCAGAGGGCAACGTGGGTTAGCACCTGTGAGCAACGCTTCTCCACATGGATGTCGAGCACTGTGGGGATGGTGTTGACATGGTTGCTAAGTTGAAGACCCTGATGACGAAGAAATAAGACAACAGAGAGACGGACTTTCTCCAGGGACAGGGCATAAGATGGCGCCGAGCAATGGCGAGAAGGGCGAAAGAGAGTCGTCGGTGCTGGGTCGGAGATGATGGATCAACCAGACAGGGGAACATGATTCAAGACCAAACTGCGAGCCCAGAACCACTCACCACAGCAAACCCTCAGAGACACCCTCCTGGCACACACTCGACCAGAAAAAACCATGGTTGACTCGGCAAGTGTTTCTCCCTGGCTGGCGCGCTAAGCTTATTGTGTCGACAGTGGATTTCCACAGCGCTCTTTGGCTCTGTCGATCGCCATTCCAGTGTGCCGGCGACTGCGCGGTCTTGGAGAGGCTCTTGAGCATCACGTTTCCTTTTTTGAAAGAGGGACGTCGTGTGGATCGTGTCTTGGTTTTTGGGAGAACCTTGATGGTTTTAGCGTTGCTGAAATAAAGGGTCCTCTGCTCATTCAACCATGAACAGGAAGCGTTCTTGGCTGTGTTCAGAGGGAGCTTCCATTTGAGGGTGCTGATGTTGGGCGGCCTTGCCGGGGGCGGCGGGGAGGGTTTTGCTGATTAGGTCAAGGTGTCTTTGCTGAGTGACAGGCTCGGGGTCAAGAAAGGGTACATAGTGCCTCTACTGTCATTGAGGTGCTTATGAGCAGGGTGAATGCGTGCGAGCCATGTGGTTTCCGATTCCAGAGGATGTGTGTGTGTGTGGTTTGGGAGGGAAAAGCACCTCAATCAGGGCAGTCCGTTGTCGTTCGTCCGGAGTTTCAAGCTTGTCACCTGCTGCCGCTATCAGCACCTGTCAAGCTTGCTTATTGGCTCCATTTGGGTTCGTTTGATATTCGTGGCCCGGGTCTGTGGGACAGGGCAACAACAACCAACAGAGCTTGGCAACCAAGACCGAATGCCGCCAGGGATCACCATCGCACCTCATTTTTTGTAGGGACCAGGCCACTTGCCCGCTACACACCAAGGTACAGGGCACTTACCTTCTGGCTTCGGCGGCGTCGGCTCACCTTCAGGGATGTCGCGCGAGTTTGTTAGTGCACTCCTCCTTTCCTCCATACAATTTCCCCCTTGAGGTTGGATCCCTTCAGTCCCGTCCCTTCCTCACTCAACCCTCCCACTTGGCTCTTGCCCTCTTGTCTCGCCAACGAACCGCCCGCGACGAGGAGCACCCGCCGACGATCGAGAGGAAATCACTGACAACACAGCATCTACAAACCTACTTAGTTAGCGCGGTGAACTACAAAGTAGTGATAACTACCTCTATATCTCCCGTACCGAAAAACGATTACTCTGCTGACCACGATTCCCCTGATTATTGTAAGGTGGCAGTACCACGCTAGCAAATTATATGCCGACAGAGTTCGGTTTCTTCTTGCCGTCCGGGGCTCCATCTTGATCCAGCTTGCTGGCAAGATCGGGCCTAGATCGAGAGCGAGGTGGAATCCCTCATTTGCTTTGCGGGGGTGACATCCATCTCTTTACGTCAGACGTTTTTTCTTCTTCCTCTGCTGAAGATGCTAAAACCCATGTCGTCGACCTTGCAATTTCGTGACCGGCTATGGGGGTCTGGCTTTTTCGGCGGATCAACAAGCATGACACCACCAAGCTTTCCCATCGCCTCACCTCGTGACTGCTCCATTGTTATCAGTCCAAATTTGGCCCCCCCAAAAAAACCGTTCGAGCCGTTGTAACTGCTAGTGTACTACGCAGTATGTTTCGTTTCTCTTCCCGTTTGATGCTTACAATTTATCTGCGGATGCAGGCGGGTGGACCCGTTCCCCCCTCCCCCTCCCCCCTGTGACGTAAGGTATCCAAGTGTGAGACATGGCAATGCCCGTAACTGCAAATGTGATATGGCTTCTCTTTTTATCACACCAAACTCCATCATAGAAAATACCCAATGCTGTTCTCGTTCCTGGTTGTTTATTTCCAACCAACTCGGAGATCCCAACACATCTACGGATTTACTGGTTACCGAGCTGTGAATGATCTGCTCCATCGATGTGATACTGATCGCAAATCCCCACGTCCTGTACACGATGATCTACGCAGAGCACGGGGTATGTACGATATGAGGCGAATCACGATGCACTCTCCGATGCAACACAAGGTGAAAGGATCAAAATGAGGTCCTTGCTGAAGCCCCGGATTCCCGTATTGCTCCAGGTTGCTAGATTTCGTTCCCTTTTTTTGCTTTCCCCAAATCTTTGTAACCCCGGCGACCCAGATAGACTGCTACGTACCATCGCATCCCGCAATTACAGCCTTCTGTTTCTCTCGCTAGCCAACCACTGCTACGTTGGGTTTATTCGCGATTGGACATCACAGTTCCCTTCGTTGCATGTATGCGGGATGACCTTGCTAGCTGCTGCCTCGAGGGTGCTATGTATAAGCCACATGGGGGGCCATTGCGCCCTGGCTTGAAGGGTTACTCCGAACAAGCACCACGGTGGGCACTGCATATACTGTACAAGAAGTACGATGTTATCACAGAAACAAGTCCTCTATTTTCGGTTCTCTATCCTTGTTATCTAATTCTTCTTCAAATTCGCTACTTTCATCGCTCATTTGTAGTCCGACAATGTTCGGCGATGTTGCCGTCTTCCATCCAGCCACACAATCTTCGGTTGCATCTCGATCAAGAGGACCTACCTTAGTCGATTGTTCGTCCCTGACGACTCAACTACCTACATATACCTACATCGATACAATCTCGGCTGGACTCACTCAGCTTCCAAGCTTACACTGCAAGGGAGAGTCGTAACCAAGGGGGCTGAGTACACATGAGAAACCAATGTCCCTTCTTCCCATCCCTTCCCTTCTGGAGTTCATGGCCCCCACTTCCCATCTTCCCGTCCTACATATGTAAAGCAAAGGCGTGCACCGCACATATTTCAGAATTTCAAGCGCGCAAGCGCCGGATGGTTGGCTGCGCACCACAGCACTTGAGTCTAGTTCCACTAGCCTTTTTCCCAGACCCATCACCATTGGAAGACTTATCAGATTATCACGCCGCTAACTGGTGTTCTGTAGAGGATCAAATCATGTTGTGTTACAGTCCCGTAGGGCTGTTTGCTTGATTGCTCGACCAGTGCAACGTGGTCCAAAGCGACACTTCAGCGCGGCTATATCGCGGCTGCGGCAAGCGTAGGTAGGACGAGCTGACGAGATGTGCCACTCCAATGTACGGGTCTATTGCATTCATAAATCCTACTGTGGATGCCATCGTTTCTATTCCCAGATTCAACTACCACTCAACATCATTAGTGTATTAAGTGGGCTGTGGAAGGAATTGTTGTAACCCTCCTTTGGGGGCCCAACGGTGATACTATCCGTGTGAACGTCTCCTGCAAGTTCAGCATTGATCTTGCCTCGGGTACTAAGTTTGAAGTCCTACACAGTATGTCTGAGAAGATACCGTGCCGTCAAACCTGGCGATTACAACCTACTCACGACATCACAAAGACACCAATCGGGTCCTGAACGTCAAACTTTTCCCGGTATGCAGGGACACAAAAGACTTTTCCTGTCGCCTTTTACCTGTTCGGGCCTTTGGTCTTTGCTACTGTCATCATAGAGGCGCCGCTCAACAATCGTTTCCACCACCAGGGCTCAACCCAAGCCTTGCCTTCCGCAGACGCTGAGGTGTGTACCGACACTGGGGGTTGTTCAGAGACTGGCGTGTGTTCAGGCACCGAGGTGTGTTGGACAGAGAGTTACTGGGAGGGTATGATCTCGTCCACGTACAGCTTTACCACTGGACGAAGATTCGTCATTGCTAGTGACAGTAGAGAAAACAGTATCTCTCTGATAGTGACCCTGGAAAAATAGAGGTCTAACTAAATCAGCCTGAGGTATCATGATTTGAAATAAATCCTCAAGACTCACATATCACGATACCAATACCGACACATGACGCGGAAATGGCCGCGAATCCCACAACATAAATAAATAGCCTGCCAATCTTGACTGTTTGATCGGGCCATTGAACATTGCTCTGGACGGTATTGCCGGAGTTTGCCTTCAAATATTTCTCGATAGACTTCGTTCCTGCTTTTGAACGACCTTTGCGTCGCAGACATTGCCTTCCCTCGAGGGCCTTCTTCCAAGTTCTTAGCTCGTTGAGTCTGCGACTGCGCATGGTTGATGTGTACCCGTATTTCTTCCGTTTCAGGCTATATGTGTCACTTTTCCTTGTAAACTGGAGTGTGTTCTGTACCTTCCATATCTGGGTCTGCAAGAGGGTGTCGTTTGTGTCATGGTTAGATACCTTATCCACGTGTATGCAGTTCTGGTTCTTGGTTGCGGCTACCTCACCAGGCGGCTTCCAAGGGATAGAATCTCGAGGGACCTTCGGTTTCATCATAGTCTCGCTGATCTGGCTGTGCCAACTGAACCCCACGGCTCTGGGTTGGGTACAGTCATTATTGGTGGTCTTGGATCGTGCCGACTTGTCATGGCCGGCATCGTAGTTGATCGGAGTGTACTCTGTGATTGAGTCGATGTTGAGCCCATAGACTTGCTCAAGTGGTTTGGGCTTTAGTGGAATATCTAACAGTCGACCCGGGGCAGACCCAAATATGGCGGGAATCCAAGTATCCACCCATGACTTGTTCGGGGCGTGATACGGCTTGGTCATGGTAGGAGCCGATCCGTGTGGCTGGATTTGTTAGGATGATAGGAAAGGAGTTCGAGAGATCAAGCGTGCTGTAGGTTCCTTTTATTAGGGTAGATGCTGTGCGCTTAATGCCTGCAGATGATCATAGATAGCGGGGGACTTGAGCGATAGAAGACGACAGTTGGTGAAGGAAGGTGCGATTTATCGGTCATTGACTCACTTACGGGTAACTTAACACCCCTGCTTGCTTTGCTTTCTCTTGTATTGACAGCTCACAAGTTACGACATCAGATGCTTAGTTGGTTTGGTCAAAGGCATCAACCGCCTTCCGGACGATTCGATCGCGACAAGTGTAATTAACAGCGGAGGTGACTTGAAAGCTTCTGGATGCATTGCAGTCCATTGTCTCAAGAGGGTATCTCAGTTAGTAACTCCTCGGCAACTCGAGCACCTTTTCGGAGATGTAGTTGAGTATCATCTCCCGGCTGACCGGAGCGATTCTGGGTACCAAACACTCCCTAAAGTATCGCTCAACATCGTACTCGACAGCGTATCCCATCCCGCCGTGGGTTAGCACGGCTCTTTCGCACGCCGCAAAGGCTGCCTCCGCCGCCAAATATTTGGCGCTGTTGCAAGCCACTCCGACTTCCTCCTGTCGAATCGAGCCATCTGTCTTGCTCGCATCGTACAACCTGGCGGCATGGTATGTCGCATGCTTCGCCGCCTCAAGCCTCATATACACATCCGCCAAAGGGTGAGCGATGCCTTGGTTCTGCCCAATCGGTCGCTGGAAAACCACGCGCTCTCGAGCATACCCAGCCGCCTTGCCCAGCGCCGCATATCCTAGTCCAAGTGCCTCGCCGGCGAGAAGACAACGTTCTGCGTTCATGCCGTGAAGAATGATCTTGAACCCTTGACCCTCCTTTCCGATGAGAGATTCGCCAGGGATCGGGTAGTTCTCGAAAAAGACTTCATTGGCATCAACAGCGCGTCCGCCCATCTTCTTGATCTTGCTCACTTTCAACCGGTGGTCTCCTCTGTTCAGATCGATGCAGAACAGAGACAGTCCCTCACTCGGCTTCTTCACCTCATCAAGCGCCGTGGTTCGCGCCAGAAGCAGCATCTTGTCCGCTACTTGGGCACACGTTATCCAGATCTTTTGTCCCGATACCGAGTATGAACCATCATCTTGCTTCTTGGCGAATGTCTCTAGGCGCAGCGTGTCAAGACCGGCATTGGGCTCGGTCACCCCAAAGCAGACGCGGAGCTTTCCTGCGATGATGTTCGGAATGGTCTGTTCAAGTTGTTCCGGCGTTCCGAACTTTGCGAGCGGTTGGGTGGCATAGACGTTGGCATGAATGGACTGCGCACCCGCCATACCTGCCCCTGACTCGGCAATTGTCTGCATCATCATCGTCGCTTCAGAAATACCAAGTCCGGCTCCTCCGAGCGCCTCTGGTAGGGCAATACCGAGCCATCCGTCTTGCGCGAGAGCAGCGTGGAACTCCTTGGGATACTCCTCCATCTGGTCATGTTGCTGCCAATATGTATTTGGGAAATTGGAGCATATTTTCGTCACAGCATCTCGTACCATGAGCTGGGATTCTGTAAACCCAGCCATGGCCATCAATTGGCGCCGTGCTGAAGTCGAAAAGGCATTGTGTCCACTCGCTGTCGATCGTGGCGTTATGCGCGGGAGCCAGCGGGCGGAGCGCGCCGCACTTTTGATGAAGGTCGGCATTGTTGAGGCTCAAACAAAAGCTCAAAAAGCATGAAACGAGAACGAGGCGAACGGTTTCAGCCAATCCACCGCTTCTCCTTAGGAGCTACCAATTCAAGGCAGGCGTGAGTCGATAACTAGTGCGATGGAGCCATATCAGGTGATCACAACCAAGGATTGCAACGTTGGAGCTGAGGGATGATTCAGGGGCACAAGGGGTAATGACAGCCGGTTTCCTACCCCAAGAAACGCAAAATGCGGGGTAAACCTTCTCCATCACAGCAGGCGGTGATTGCGTCGTGGTGCGTTGAGCTTGATCAACGGCATCGTTGCCAAGTGATAGTACTTATCTGGCCGGATTCCCATGTCATTTTTTCCTGTGAACAGCAATTTGTCCAGAAATCATTGTGTCACTCAGATAACCAATTCAACATTATCACCCACCTCCTTTCCCACCTATCCCAACATATTTTGTGCAAACATGACCGTTCTACGATCAGCTCTGGGCCGGCAAACCCGGCCACTCAATCTCCGCGCTATGTCCAGGCCGAGGTCTCTCAGCACCAGCAGCACCACCACCGCCAGCGAAGCAGCAAGTCAGATGCTACACACTTTCCAGGACAAGACCATCGTCCGAAAACAGACTCTAGACGGCAATCAGCTACAAAAGTTGTGTCTCACGCTGGGCCGAAGGTATGGCCTAGGCCCCCAACTGGACCTCACGCTCGGCTGTCCCCCAGCGGGAACACCAGTGCCACCGGGATACCATCTGGTATACTTTACGCCATCAGAACTGGAGGAGGATCTTGGTGCCGATGGCACAGACCGCACGTTCAACGCACCCGCGCCTTTTACGAGGCGCATGTGGGCAGGAGGACAGATGCGGTGGAACGACGGTACCGAGCTGAGGGTTGGGGAGCAGGTTGAGGAACACACAAAGCTCCTGAGTGCCGTGGCGAAGAAGAGTCGTGACGGCAGTGAGATGGTTCTGGTGGAGGTGAACAAAGAGTTCTGGGGTGAAAGAGGCTTGGCGCTGGTCGACCAAAGGTGAGTTCGAGTTTGTCTAGACACACAAACAAAAAGCCATAATCAAAAAATAAAGCGAGAAGAAGAAAAAGTGTTGTTTATTCTTTTCTCATTATTATCACACAGATCTTGGATATTCCGGAAAGAAATCGACCTTTCGGCAATATCATCATCATCCACATCCTCAATGCCTCCGATTCCTCCACCGCGAGGAGGCAAGTCAGAAGTGCGAGACGTTATAGTGGGTGACAATGCCCTGCCGGACCGGGTCTTCAAGTGGTCGCCCGCCGCCCTGTTCCGGTTCTCGGCTCTCACTTTCAACGCGCACATGATTCACTACAACGAGAGCTGGACGAGGGCCGTCGAGAACCATCCGGGCGTGGTCGTGCATGGGCCGCTGAACCTGATCAACATGCTGGATTACTGGCGAGACGTGCACCGCGTGGAGGGGTCCGTCTTGGAGGAGATCTCGTATAGGGCTACGGCGCCGATATACGCGGGGGAGGAGTATGCCATGTCGAGCTCCAAGATGAACACGGATTATGGCATATTTGAGGTGCTGGTGAAGAAGGGGGATCAGGTTTGCATGACGGGACATATCAGCGAGGCCTCGAGCTGGAGTTATTAGAGATGATGATGATGATGATGAGCGTAATTATCACACTTAATAATGCATGGTCCGGTTGCGGACGTTTGCCTGCAACTGGTTTTCCAGCGTTGCTCGCAGTTGATGGAGAGGATCAGAGGGAGTGGGTTGGTTGATTAGGTTAACTGACGGTTTACTACCGTGACCCACGGTTAAATACTGCACACCAGAATCCATGCGCCCCATTGCACCTTCCAGGCCCCTCCGTGAATTGACAACGACCCGTTACGTCACATGCTCTTTCTTTCATCGTCAGGATCTTTGTCCACAACCAGATAAATGGCAGCCAAAAAGTCTGGAAACGCTTTGGATGATGTAAACAAACACCAAAAAACATCGTGAAAAGCTGCAAAAAACGAGGTTATAGCGACGCGAGCAGGATTTGAACCTGCGCCTCCGAAGAGATTTGATAGGCCTCGAATGGGTGGTTCGAGTCAAACACCTTAGGCCACTCGGTTATCGCGCCTTGGATCTCGTTATGAAAACTGTGTTGCTTTTGCAACCTATAGAGAGAGATGCTACGACATGGGCCCGCGTGGCAGCGGCCAGCCCACTTGCCAACTCACAATGTTACGACAGGGCACCAAATCAAAATGCATCATTGAGGTTGCTGAAAGTTGATTCGTCTTCAAATGTTGTGCATGGATCTGGTGGCGCTTCTATATCCAGTTGCTTCGTTGCTTGGGGTTTTTCAGTGGGCTTGTAAACACCGAAAGCGGCAGCGTGGCCTGGAAAGGTTTTGGGGAAGCAAAGAACAGAGACAGATGCAGCAGTTATGAAAGCTGGCTATGAGGTTGCACGAGCAGAGATCCGCGGATAATGATTTATAAAAGGAAATGAATTTCTAGCGATAAACACGCTTGTGATTTGTTTTTATGTATGGACAAATCTCCCACACACACACTACGTCTTTCCAGACTCTATATGCAATCCGCACCTAACCTTCTATTTAACCACCGCAACCGGCAGGGTATCACATATATCTCTCCCCTGTCATCGCGCAAGGACGATGTTCCCACGAACCAACTCTTTTACCTCCCACCTTTCTGCGTCTTGCTCCTCAGTTCAACAGCACTATACCACGCCGCGCCCGCCAATGCAATCACCATACCCAAACCATTCAAGAATCCCACCTTGACTCCAAACAACACAATACCCAACAAGATGGTCAAACACTGCTTGATATTTCCGCACACCGTCATCGTCACCGCGCCCGCCACCTTGTTCGTCGAAAACGAGCTATAATTCAGACAAAACGCCAACAGCCCATTGCCCGCCAGCGTGAGGATCAACGCCCCCGACGGGCCCTCGGGGTTCTGCTCCTTAAACCCAGCCAGCTCACCGCTAGCAATAGCGCAGACCAGCGCCTGCGCGCAAGCTAGGGGACTCATGCGCAGCAGCGTTTCGAGGGGCGACAAAGCTAACGCGCCGGTCATGATCCGATTGGTGGCGACGGTCTTGACGACGGCCAGGATGACGCCCAGGAAAGTGAGGAGGAAACCCGCGGCGGTGAAGTAGTAATCGCCATAAGTGGCGAGACCGACGCCCAGGATGAGCGGGATCAGAGAGAGGTAGGTGTCCCGCGGGTAGAAGCGGCCGTAGCGGAAGCGGTAGATGAGCACGGCGAAAAAGGGACAGGTCGATCGCATGATCTGGTGGAAGGGGATGGAGACCATGGCGAGAGAGACGTTGGAGGTGGCGATGTTGACGGTGAAGAGGATGGAGAAGAGGAAGAGGACGACGTTTTGCTGGAGGCTGAGCTTCGTGAGGGTAAATCGACCTTGGAGAAGGAGGATGTAGCAGCCTATAGACGCCGAGCCGGCGTGGAGGGCCGTGAGAAGCCATGGGTAGGAGAACTGGTGATTATGGTTAGCTTGATGTTGTACACACAGGTGAAAGATCAATTGGGGGGTCTGGTATAAGACAAAACCAGGAGGCTGCTCGGCACTCACCTTGCCCAAGATGAGCTTGTTGTAAATCGTTAATGAAATGTTACATAGAAAGTAGACGGCCAAGTACAGTAGCTTTGTCGTGCCTGAGACTTCTTGTTCTGTTCTGACCGTGGGATTGGAAGGCTGTGGGTTGAGAGGAACCTGGGCCTCCAGATCCTCGTCCTTGTCCTTGAAAGTTGGGCTGCTAGACATGGCTGATGGTGATATTAACCAGCTCGGTACTGATTGATTTGCTTGGTGGTGTGAATATGGTAAGAGTAATGAAACCCGGAAGGCTCCCTGTCAGACAGCACCGGAGTTACAGGCTCTGAGACGGATGATAGCTCTTTGGGGTGTTTTAGTGTCGGGGTTATGATTCAAGGTAATGATGTAATGTGAATGGAGCAGAGTATGAGTGAATGTGGGATGGTACGAAAATGACAAGACCAATCCAACACAGGGTGTAGGGCTGAAACAACAGTGGTAGTACAGTAAGGTACCCAATGCGAAACCTGATGGCTCGATGAGTAGCGTAGGTGAAGAAAGAGATCAAGACAACAGGAAAATTCCCGTGTGTGTGTTGGTGTTGTTGTTGTTGTTGTTGTTGTTGTTGTTGTTGTTGTTGTTGTTGTTGTTGTTGTTGTTGTTGTTGTTGTTGTTGTTGTTGTTGTTGTTGTTGTTGTTGTTGTTGTTGTTGTTGTTGTTGTTGTTGTTGTTGTTGTTGTTGTTGTTGTTGTTGTTGTTGTTGTTGTTGTTGTTGTTGTTGTTGTTGTTGTTGTTGTTGTGTTGTTGTTG